AGATAAGGCCCTTTTTTCGCTTCGCTTCGGAATTCGAATATTAAATTGCTTATATTCGAATTCCGATTAAAATATACCTCTGTTATTAAGACTATGACTGGCTTAAGTTCTTTGATATCAAAATGTTTGTATTCCTACCAGTTTATGAGTGACAAGCTCTGTCTTAAATATCCCTTTCTATTAATTTTTTATATACTACGGCCGCCATAGAAATCCAAGACGATATAGAAAAATCTTTATCGATTAAATGTCACTCACTGGATAGACTAAAATATTGTAAGAAAGTTTTTCAATCAAACGATTTTAAACTTCTCACTTTTAATATACGTAGTCTTCAACATAATTTTAATGATTTTTTTGGTAGTCCTAAACAGATTAAATATTACATATGACGTCATCGTTCTGACTGAATGCTGGCTACATGATAGTAATTGAGCAAATAGCCGGTTATAAATCCTTTCATACTAAAAAGTATATCAATAAAAGTGGCGGAGTGGTTGTTTACATTAGGTTGGACAATGCAAACTGCCTTAGGGTTGACTTGGATAACTCATTGTCTATACTATGCATATATCGCTCTCCCTCATTTCAAACGGCTTTCTACAATCTTTGGACAGTACACTTCACAGCTTACAGAATAGGTCTTGTGTAATGGTGGCGGGTGACTTAAATATCAATCTTTTAGCTAACGACACTGATTTGCAGGTATCTGATTACTTATGCCTAATGGCTTCCCACGGGTTGTTGTCGGCCATTTCAGAGCCTACTAGGGGACATACATGCTTGGACCACATTTTCATTAAATGCAAACAAGTTATTTCAGCAGCTGTATGCAAATGCTCCTTGACTGATCACTATATGCCTATGGTAGGTGTGAGCTTTGCTGACAATAAACCTAAATCGAAAAACAGGTACAGAAATATTGTTGATATCGGCGCAATTAATTTGGACCTTTGCGGTATGAACTGGTCGACAATAACTGGCTGTGCAGACATCAACGAGGCCACTTTTAATTTTAACCAGATTACAATCAGCTGTAGGCAAACATACTAGTAAAGTAAAATTGAGTCCCACTAAATACAACATCAAACCCTGGATTACTCCCGGGCTAATGAAATGTATGCGACATAGAGACCATTTGCATAGTTAGGTCCGTGCGAACCCCAATGACGTCGTGCTTAATCTGACTTACAAACGATATCGCAACTTTTGTAATGACCTGCTGCACCGACTCAAGGCTGAACACGAGAATGGAGAGCTAAAACACCACAAACGGAATCCTAAAAAGCTTTGGCAGGCAATAAAAAACGTTTGCGAGGTCCTCCAAAAGAGTAAAGATTCTGAGGAACTTTTGAAAAGTGATGTTAACATCAAGTCTTCAATAAATTTCTGTAATAGTCATTTTGCTTCCTCCGGTCGAAAATTGGCTGATCAAATCCTGTCTAAGCTTTCAACCTCAGAGGTCAAATTGAGTGCTTCCGTTGGGACTCCCAATCCTCCGCTTAACTCTTTCTTCTTTAAACCAACTGAATCATTGGAAATCAAGAGGCTGATTGAGGGTTTACGTAGTGATAGTGCGCCGGGGGTTGATGGATGTACCCCTCTTCTTATTAAATCTATTAAAGATTATACATGACGTCAACTTAGGCGCGTAACAGTATTGTGAGTATAGAAGGACCCTTTTCGGAGATTTTTTTAAACAATTGACAAATGACAAACGAGCACACAGTCCATCTGATGTATAATTGACATGTATGTATGGTGACAAACGTGCACACAGTACACCTGAATTATAGAAACCAGTACTATGCGTAGGTATATGAATCTTAAGGACGAGAGGAATGAGGTTCACGGTCAAGAGTTGAATACCTTTAAAATAAGTTATCTTTAAGACAGAAATTTTATGCATGGTAGAGCCATGCTGCAGTTATATTAGTAGCTTAATGCTGCTGTGTTTCGTATGGTGAGCGTAGAGAACCGGATACCCTTTTTACTGGAAACGTGGCATTCCATCTTAGTCCTCACGTGTGACAACGCATCTGCATTTTGATTCGTAATCGAGGATAAATGTAGATGTCTATGGGCCACAGCAACCACCGTTGACCGTACCGTAGACATCTACATCTACATTACTAATTGTCTTCATTCAAATGTGTCGGTTCTGCAGTCTGGATTCCCAAATATAAAATTGTCCTTAACTATAGATGCCCTCCTCAGGCTTCTGTTTTTACAGGGGAAGCTGTAGCCATATATGAGGCTATATCCTACATTTTTTCCCATAAAATTCCTAAATCAGTTTTATTTACTGATTCAAAAAGCTGCCTAATGTCGTTACAGAGCAATATATCTAAAATGAAATCCATCTCCCCATTGATACTGAAAATTAAAGAACTCATACTAAATTGTAATAAGAGTGGGCTTGAGGTAGAGATTGTGTGGATTCCTATTGTGGCATAGAAGGAAATGAACAGGCTGACTCCTGGGCCAAAGGAGCGGTAGATACTGGCTGCCCTTCTCATTTAATGAATTACTCTCATGATTTAATATCATTAGCTCAAATTGAATTAAAGAATTCTTGGGACAGAGATTGGAGCATATCCAGACATAGTAAAGGTAGCTACTTTGGTAAAATCCAACCCCAAATTCCTCCAAAACCTTGGTTTTTCAAATTTAGGTTTCTGAACAAACAAATCACATCTACAATCTGCCGTTTAAGGCTCGGGCATGTCTGCACTCCTGTATTCCTAGCTAAAATTAGAATCAAAGACCATTCCCTCTGTGAATGTGGTCTGGATGAAGGTTCCCCAGACCACATTTTCTTCAGTTGTCAAAATCACCCAATTTCTTTATATGACATCCTTCCCAAAACAATCCCTCGACCAGTTAATATCAATTCCCTCTTAACTATCCCCGATTCCATATATGTCAATACAATCTCAAAATATACTCGAATGTATAATATTAAAGTATAATTATTGTGTACTAAATTTAGCTTCACCTAATTCTATATTCCCTGCCCAGGCTAATACCCTCCTATAACTAGATTTTTACTCTATATTGTGTGGTCCACAATTCGTATATTTAGTTGCTTTGTTTTTATCCACATTCTCACCTAATAACCACTAACTCCTTTTCCACCGGAAAGCCTCAAGACAAGGGGTGACAGACCGAAGACCGGACATTGGCAGAATTATTGTGACATTATCACAATACCAAGGGCCATATAGTTATTTAAAAAAAAAGTATTGTGTGTAATCATAACTTATTTAATGTTTTCTGTTATCAATTTCTTTCACTTTGTAATAAATCACTGAAAAACTGATGACAAACTCCTCATATAGTAGATTTAGTTAATACAACATTCAAGTTATTATAGTTATTAAGTGCTAATAAAAAGATTTTCAATCTTATTTAAAACTCTAACTCATATTTTCAACACAAAATGCATAACTCCTAACACAACATTTAAGAATAAAAATAATAATGCTATTAAACACTACAAAGAGAACCTGTTCGTTAGTTAACTTAACCATTAAAACTCATAAAAAAAAAATCAAATAAAATTTTTGGCAACTCAAAACTTTATCTTTGCAACTGCAATAATTCCAATAAGTTCTTATTTATAATTAGTTATTAATTTATACTTATAAGTCCATAAACCAATAAATTCTATCCACCGTTAAATTCTAAGGGAGCCCCCAAGCCTCTGGAGGATATGATATAATCCGCAGACTTGACAGGTGATTTGCAGATCATAGCTCCAATGCTCACAAAATTATATTTTTATCAGTCTGTGAATGTTGACAGCTGGATGTGGGCCTCTTCTGGTAGTAATGCTTTGCCTTAATCCTCAAGCTTGGCAGATGTACTATAACAATACCAGACATTCCGCACCTTTGATGCTGCCCGTCGCCAGTCAAGTCCAATGTCTGGCGTAAATAAGATGTGGTTTTTTTTTAATAGAATGGGGCAACAAACGAGCACACTGTCCACCTGATGGTAAGTGAATGCTGTGGCCTATAGACATCTTAAATTATCTTCGATTAAGAATCAGAATGCAAATGCGTTGTCACCCCTGAGGACTAAGATGAAATGCCTCGTTTTTAGTAAAAAAGGTCTCCATTTCTCTCACTCACCATAATTAAAATTTCTTTCCCCGGTCAAGATAACCCATCCGTACTACTGTACTGTAGCTTGGCTCTACCAAGTTTGCCTTTGTTGCTTCTTATGACACACAGGATGATGAATTCTCTAACCCAACACTACACAGTAAGACTGCCTTTATTAATGGGCATATCTAGTGCATACACCATGTTATACCATCTACTATGTTTCCTGTTCATATATAAATTAGCATTTTGCACCATATCTACCATTGTATCAATGCCATCAAATCTTTCTTGCATTTTCCACAATAGGCGACTTTACTGCCTACTCACAGTATGATAATGAAGAGGTGAATTCTCTAAGATAATCACACCTTACACACACACACAACCTGCAAAAGCAATCGTAAAATCTTTTATGACATTTTGAATTAACCTGGTAATGTTTACGAGGTAGAGCCATGCTACAGCTATATTAGTAGTGTAACTGTAGCATGAGTTGGTCAGCTCGATTGGGGTAGTACCACGCTCTCACTGTAAAATTGCAGCTCCATGCTGCTATGTTTCATATGGTAAGGGTAGAGAACTGGAGACCCATTTTACTGGAAACGAGGCATTCCATCTTAGTCCTCACTGGTGACAATGCATCTGCATTTTTATTCATAATTGAGAATATATTTTGATGAAGATGTTTATGGACCCAAATAACCACTTACCATCAGGTGGACTATGCACTCGTTTGTCACCCTATACTATATTTTTTTTAAATGCTACTAAACATTTCAAAACGGATTTTATAAATAAGACCTTAGATTGTCATTGTAATGATGTACACACAAATAAGCATTTAGAATTTTTAAATAAAGAAATCCAAGATAAAACTAATTTCTAATATTACTCAGGTTCACAAAGCTCATATTTCTCGATACATTCAATTATCCAACCAACTGGCAATGCTTTGATGTGTTTCATATTGTACATTGGTTCATACATGTCTTTGAAAATTATGTAATGGGAACACATATACAATTTTCCACCCTTCTTTGCATGATACGGCACTAGTTTCTCTGCCTCTGGAATTGATTCAGGGTTCGGAACCCGTCTGAGAACAATACCATCAGCATCACTTATTAATTTCGAAAGTATTGTTTTATTCAGGATAATAGATTTAGAAATTTCATAATTAGTGATGAAGTTGTGCAAATAAAAATGACAACCATTGAAAAGGCCAGGAAGCTGTTTATATTTGTTATATCTAGCATTTTTAGGGCCATTGAATTTGTTAGAACCAACTCCCTTCACTTCATACTTCGTGAATGGTTGCAATTTCTCTTCTGTAGAATTTGTTATCCATTGAGATGATAAAATCCAAATCCCATAAACTATGCCCTGTAAAACATCTAAATTAGGTGAACACACTCCATCATCTTCGGTGTCAACTAATAAATGTGTAACCTTTTTTGGTGAATTTTGCCTCAATATGCATATTGTTATGATGTTTGCATAATGTTTTTAATTTATTGTGAACTGTACGAAATTGTGAGATACAGTGTATCTTTATGTCATCGAAATCAACTTCTGTTTGAAGTTCAGATATGTGAGTCACATTAGCACCGTGCGTTTGTAGTATATTTTCAGCAGCTTCCTCCAATACCTTCTTAATGTCATTAGAGGCTAACTGTACAGGTGTCTCACCTTTGCAATTTCTTGCATATAAATGAGCACCATGTTTAACTAACTCTTCAACAATATCTTTATGCTTGTATCTCACTGCTTCGTGTAACGGGGTTTCATTACCCTGACCCGGCACATTGATGAGAGTGTTGTGTTGAAGCAATAATTTGACCAAGTCAAGTCTACCATTCTGCACAACTTCATGGAGGGGTGTCCACCCTGCATTATCTTTAGTGTTTGGATTAGCACCCGCATTGAGCAACCTACCACTTTATCAACTTTCCCAAGACGGCAAGCTACATGAAAACAAAAGTCTTACTCAATTTTGAAGAGCTTGCAACAGATAGAAGTGAAGCATTTGGATTAGGGTTTGGATTGTTACCCTCATTGAGCGGTTCCGCCGCCCTACTGACCTCAATAGGGCAAGTAACATGTGTAGCAGTCTCACATTTGTCAATACGTTTTTTAAGAGCCTTATTCAATTTTGATGAGCTTGCAACATTAACATTTTCAATTTTTGAGATTTTCTTATTAGATTTTGTAGAAGCTTTATTTTTTTCTTTAGCTTCGGCTTTGAATTTTATCGTTTTAGCACTTCTTGTCGTATGTCCATCAGTGGTGGCGCTGTCGTCTACCTTAGACTTAGACGATTGTAACGTACTTGAATTCATTTTTAAGGGGGCAAAAAGTTTATCTAGCTCTTTAGCAGATTGAATACAAGCTTCCAACCTGTCGTCCTTAAAGGCCTCATTTTCTGTTATGCGTGTATGACACGTAGGACATTTGTCTAATTTCTCGAAGTGTTCTTCACAAATTAAATGAAAACAAGATTTTAAGGTGACCGGTTTTTTACACATTTCTAAACAAACGCCACATGTATAATCCTGTTTTACTGCCTCTAAAGCTTCTAATATAGTATGCACATGTGATGAAGTCATCGTTATTATTTTATTATGTAGGTTTATCGTATATAATAATTGTTTAATTTTATTCAAGGATAATATGAAATCAAAACACAATAATTATTACTTTAATATGCACTTACATTTCAAATTTCAAACTAAAGGACCTTCAAGCGGGAACTTGAGATTGACATTGATCAAAGAGTAGAGTATAATAAATTAGGGATGTTCGGTGATCATTGATATTAAAAATGAAAGCATCGATGCTGCCACATGTCAAACATCGATGTCAGTGGACACAAAACCGATTATTTGAAGGTTATTTTCAAAAGCTGGCTCAAGATAAGATAAGATAAGATGATTTATTTGTCAGAATACGGTACATTACTGTTGTTACAAAAGAATTTCGATCCTAAATATTCTGCCGTTTCCGGCGTACAAATATTTTCAGATAGATAATTTTTCGAATAAAATAGAAAACTAAGACATTATTTATTATATAGTATAAAGATACTTGCAGTAATAGGTACTTATGGAAAAATCTATATAAAAAAATCATCAAAAAATTCATAATATTTTTAGTCAAAACATTTCAAAAAATTAAATTTAGCAATTCAATAAATACAATTCGAGTCAAATTTATCATTTAAGAAGTCATTAATAGTTAGTAATAACATTTATTTAAAAGAAATTGAAACAATTTAATTTTAAAGATTCCTATATTCATCTTTTTGAAACAAACAGGCAATTTGTTGTAAACATGTATTGCCATACAATATACATTTTTTGAATAGAGTTGTATTCTTTGCTTTGGTACACACAATTTATGTATATTTCTACTAGTCCTAATTACAACATCGTTGTGTTTTTCAAATAAATTACTATTTTTGTGAACAAAGATACAGATTTCGTAAACGTATAATGCTGGAAGCGGCAATATTTTATGTTTGCGAAAAAGGGGAATACAACTATCTAATTGGTGTGCTCCGCATAAAGACCTTACACATGTTTTCTGTCCACGAAAAGCTCTAATGAAATTGACAGAATTACCCCATATTATTAAGCCGTAACGTAGGATCGAAGAAACTTATCCATGATAGGCAGAGAGTTCGGCCTCCATGTTAGCCACGTCAACTCTTTATCGACAGAGAAACAGATTGATAGGTACTTCTTTGTCAAAATTACTATGTTTTAATTCAATCAGCAAAAATTCTCAACGTGGTAGAGCCATGCTGCAGCTATATTAGTAGTATAGTTGTAGCACAAATGGGTCGACTCGACCAGGGTAGGTCCACGCTCTCACAGAATACCAGCGTAAAATAGCAGCTTAACGCTACTGTATTTTGTATGGTGAGTGTAGAGAACTGGAGACCTTTTTACTGGAAAAGAGGTGTTGCGGACGGCAGGAAGATTGTCGTCCTCCCGAGAGAAGAGGGCTCGTGAACTACGCCGGGGGGAGGATGTTGTGGACGGTGAAGAGATAAGCGTCCGTCGCCCCGCACCACGTCTCCCGAACCCGCATCAAATCAAGGACCCCGCAAGGACAAACGCTCGCACAAACTCTGTGCCTATGTTACACCGACCGTCGAAATAAAAGAAGCGCTTCTGGCGAGGTTTCGTCATTCGCGCGGCTACAGCTCTCAAGACAGAACAAGCAAGAAAAAAGCCCTCAAGATCACTTTTAGGTTGATATAGTGTTTTGGTATTAACTGCCGCAAAATTAATTGTAAATAGTGTTCAATGCGGTGATTATTTTAAATATCTTTAATACCTTGATATTACTTATCATTTATCAAATTTCAGTCAGCAGATCTCACAGTAATTAGCTTTCTTCACAGTAATAGTTCAGTTTTCTCCCTAAATACAGTCCACTTAGATCTCATCCCCTACATTTCTTTGGTCCATCGTCGCCGGATTGAAGAAGCATTATAGAAGATCATCGATCATCGGTCAAGATTATCTGTGAAGAAAGAATCTGTGAATCTGTTTCTCAATTACCGTCAACCATCAACGTCGTTAGTCGTTTTAACGACTAATTGTTCTGTTTCTTACCGCATTTACGCAGCCAGTCGAATACCATCTAACGATACCAAGTGGTCGTCTGGTAACGCCCCTTGGGGCAGGAACGGCAACCCATACAAGCGTCTTTTGAAGACGATCGGAATCCACAACATGGGATCATGCGTAGAATAAGAAGCAGCCAGAAAGCAAGGAACGACGACGAAGCACCGGTAGGAGTATGCGTCTTCGAGGAAGCCCCCGCGTCTCCGCCCGATTATCTGCCGACAACCGCGCCCTCCGTTGCGTCCGTTCCGACGCCAGCAACTATGCCCACGCCCGCGCTCGTGTCTCGCTCGCTATGTCCGTGTCGACAACCGAAAGACTAGAAAGCAACACAACCGCGCCGTGAACCGATACACTCGTCGCGATTATAAAATATCTTCCGGCAATGGAGTCTAGTATGACGATGCAAACCGCCGCGCCCGTAGCAATTGACGCTGTTCATAGGCCCGCACCACGCGCCCCGTCAGTTCGTTCAGCCCGGCCGACAGCTAGCGCGATAGCAAGAATTAAACAATTAGAGTTATAACGTAGCGGAAGAGCTCGCCGCGATTCGCAGAAAACAGTTAGAGATTCAGGAAGAATTAATCAAAAAAAAAATACGCTAGGGATATTGCGCAGAAACCGATCGGGAAAGCCTCGATAATATTGACGTCACCGAAAATAGGAGCCGCGTGGATCAGTGGTTAGATAACATGGAGGTTGTGCGGGGGGAGCTGCCCCACCGAAAGTTCAGGCCCGCGCCCCGCGTCAACGTAGTGTTAGCCCCAACAGAAAAGGGTACCTATTACGACGTTGTACTACCCATATAAAGTAAGGACGCCCAGTGGAGGACGTTTGCGAACGTAGATCAGCCGCGTCACGGTAACCACACAGCGCTGAGGGACATATTAGTAGCCGCCGCAGAATCAAAACAATCCAAAAGCTATGTAAGGGTGACGACGCCGACACGCGCCAAATACTGCACTCTATCGCCAGTACGTTGTAAATCACCATCGCCACATCGCCACGAGGAACGTAGATTATCGTCACCGTATCGTCGCGATGTACATAGGCCACGGTCACCTTATAACTGCGATGCATCCCCGAATTACCGTGTATCACCGGACCGAATGATTAACCCGCGAGGGAAAGACCGGGGAATCGAACGGCTTGCGGAAGCTTTGGAGAGCATGGTGAGATGTAGGCCCGCCGCCATGAAGCAAACACATGACCTGCCTATTTTTAACGGTGCGCCCGCGGAATGGTAAGTGTTGCGGACGGCGATAAGATGTTCTTCCGTCACCCCGCACCGCACCTACGTCGAAACGTCCCCCGCGCCCCGCATTAGAACAAGGGCCCCACAAGGACAAACGCTCTCACCAACTCGGTGCCTACAACGCACCGACCGATGGAATATAAGAAGTGCCTCTGGCGCGGCTTCGAAATTCGCGCGGAATCAAGCGGCCACAACGGAACAAGCAAGAAAGAAAGAAGCCCTCAAGATCCGTATTAGGTTTAAGTCTTAACTGCCGCAAATTAATTGTTGTATATAGTTTAATATAATGATTTATTTTTAACTCTTTTAATTTCAACTCAACCCTTATTTATTAGTCAGACAGATGTCACAGGTTTAGGTTCAGTAATAGTTTAAATTCAATTCAATAGTAGTCCCTAGCGAAAAACACAAACAAATAAAAATACAGTCCATTTGATCTCATCCCCTACATTTCTTTGGTCCATCGTCGCCGGATTGAAGAGCATAGAAGATCATCGGTCAAGATCTCCAGTGAAGGGAGAAGATAGAAGATTAAAATCTTTCCTTGTTTCTGACTCACCGTCAACCATCAACGTCGTTAGTCGTTTTGACGACTAACTTATCCTGTTTCTACCGCGTTTACGCGGCCAGTCGAACACCACCTAACGGTGCCAAACAGTCGTCTGGTAACGCGTGTGGCGGGAACGGCTACCCATACGTGCGTCTTTTTGAAGACGATCAGAATCCGCAACGTGAGATCATGCGTAGAACAAGAAACAGCCAGAAAGCCAGGAACGACGATGAAACACCGGTATGAGAACGCGTATTCGAGGAAGCCCCCCGCGTCTCCGCTCGATTATCGCGCCCGCACCGACGCCGGCAACTACGCCCGCGCCCGTGTTTGTCGCCGCGACGCCACGCCCCGCTATGTCCGTGTCGACAACGGAAAAATTAGATAGTAGTACAACCGCGCCGCGTACCGATACACTCGTCGCGATTGTAGAAGATGTTCCGGCAACAGAATTTGGTATGACGATGCAACCCGCAGCGCCCGTAGTAATCGACGCTGTCACTAGACCCGCACCGTGCGCCCCGTCAGTTCGTTCAGCCCGGTCGGCAGCTAGCGCGATAGCCAGAATTAGGCAATTGGAATACAATTTTTTTTTTTAAAAAAACGCAGTAGAAGAGCTCGCCGCGATTTGTAAAAAACAGTTAGAGATTCAGGAAGATTTAATCAAGACAAAATACGCTAGAGACATTGCGCAGTTACAAGAAGAAACCGATAGGAAAAGCCTCGACAATATTGAAAATAAGAGTCGTGTGGATCAGTGGTTAGATAACATAGAGGTTGTGCGGGAGGAGCCGCCCCACCGACAGTCTCAGTCCGCGCCCCGCGTCGAAGTAGTGTTAGCCCCAACGGAAATGGGGACCATTATGACGCTGCAATACCCGTATATAGTAAGGACGCCCAGAGGAGGACGGTTGCGAACGATGATCAGCCGCGTCACGGTAACCACACAGCGCAGTGGGACATATTAGGAGCCGCCGCGGAATCAAAACTATCGAACCGCCATGTAAGGGTGACGTCGCCGAAATGCGCCCAATACGGCACTCTATCGCCAGTATGTTGTAGGTCGTCATCGCCACATCGCCGCGAGGAACGTAAATTATCGTCGAAGTATCGTCGCAATGTACATAGGCCACGATCGCCTTATAACTGCGATACGTCCCCGAATTG